TGCCAGTGGCCATCCAGGATATTTTGTAAAGATAATTCACGATACACTGGATCTCCAATCACAAAATCCATAACGCCCAGTATGCCAGAATTCCGGCCATAGAGAACAAGCATATTGTCATTGTTCTCTGTGGCGTAAGAAAGAATTGTTCCAAAATACTTGGCATCTACTTTTAGCCAAGTGCAGATAGAGAGTTCATGTATCCCTGTTCGGAAACTCCTCTGGAAGGTGACATAATTTTCAGCGGAAGCAGATGGGAACAGAAGCATCAAACCCACATTGCAAACTTTGAGGATGAGAGACAAAATAATTAGACACTTTACATTTTGGCATAAAGTAAAAAAGAAAATATTCTGTCTACCTTTGTCATCGTACTTGTTTCAGATCTGACCGTTATAGGCAAAAGTATCAAAATTGTCAAATGAAAACGTGTCACAGACCATATATTTCAGGGTAGCGCCATATTGAATTTTTAATAGGAATGGAAACAAGCCTGTGAGGGATAGAAGTGCAGTGTGTTCAATCGATTGCATTGTTATTTAACAATATACTGATTGTCCAGCTGACAAAACGTCTTTCTAAAAAATGGTAGACAAAGTTTTAAAAAATTATTTTGAAAGCTGTGACAAATTACATGACTTTTGTGTACAGTGCCTACCATTGTAAAGCAGCCTTGTTTTCATCCACATTAAATTCAATATGGCGTCTAATCTGATTAAGGTCTATATGCTTGCCTGTTTGGATTCTTGGAGATTCTGAGTAAATAGTTTTTGAATGACTGAAAATTACATTTGGTAAACAGTGACATTAAGGTTTTCAGTCTAAACTGTGGATACAAATGCATTTCGATTTCATTTTCAGACACAAAACCACTAGAGTTCTCTAAATACTTACTTCTGGCTTCTTCCTTTGGGGTTTGAATATGTGGGATTTTGTGTCGAAGTGGAAGCAGAAAAGGTTTCTCTTCAGCCTGAACTGTTGGTTGTACGGTGCTCTGCCAGAGCTGCTATTGTCTGTCTCTTATTTTGCTTGTCTGTGGTTGTTCGGTGGGCCCAGAACGCAATCGATCTCTCATTCTGTATTCTTCAGACTTCGGTTTAGGCTGGACATGCCTCAGGACCACACCTTGTTGCTTCTTGATAGAATTGAGAGGATCTAATCCTCCTTCCTTGGAAGTTGGAATGATCTTGAACAACCCTTGCATCTGACTCTCCAACTTCATTATCTGGGTCTGATGCCTTTTGAGAGAGGCCTGAAGGTCCCGCATTCCATGTTGAACCTGATTCTTAAAGGATTCCAAAGAGCCAATGTGACTTTGCAGTTTCTGGGTCTTGTGGGACAAGTTGGACAACCCTGTTCTCTGCTTTTGGATTTGTCTAAGGTTGAGATGGTTGTTTTCCCTCAGAGCTCTCGTCATGTTTGCTAGGCTCGACTCAAGCCTCTTGGTCTTTTTCTGTAGACTCTTAGTCCAGGATTTGAGGGAATTCAGGCTGTGATCTGTCGTTTCCTTGAATGCACGGAGCTCTCTGGACATCCTCTCAAACTGCCGACTCAAAACTTGGAATCGCGAGTCTATGTTATTTGAAATGTTGCAGTTTTCAGCAATGCTCTTAAGATGGGTGAAGGTCATCTGTTGAAATCTTTTGAACTAGGATTGGAGGAATCGTGTTACAGATACATGCAATATGATATTTTTAAAGACAGTATGTTTATACATAACAAACCTGCTGATCCAGCCTCCTCAGTCTTTGGTTTAAGGGTTTATATGTCTCAGTCGGTGCTCCTCTCCGTGTCCAGGTCACAGGCATTAGCAGGAAGATTATGACCAGGAAAAAAACACTTCTGCTGGCCTTTCTGGTCATGGTCGCTTCACGTCCTTTACAGGCGTTTAAATAACTTGATCTAATATTTTTGAAAAATTCCAACCTAAAAGAGTTTGTGTAGGTGTACACCTCCTATCCTTGGATGCTCTGAATAAGATTTCCTTTTTATTTGCTACAGTGGCCAATAGGGAAATTAAAACATGACTAAATGGATTTCACAGACCCCAAACAGAAATCTCCAAGCAAACACACACATACGCAAAAACATGGATGGACAGGCGATCATAAATATTTGTAAAATAGTTTTTAAAAATATGATTTGGACTCTCAACTTGTCATATCTCAATTTTCAATCATTACATTTTATGCTGTACACAATAAATCTGTCTGTATAGCTATAATATATAATCTGTGAGTACAAAATGTGAAAAAACAGCACAGACAACATTATCTATAACAATACAACATAAAAACATCCATATTTCAAAGGCATAAATATGATGAAATTTTACATGGCTGACAAATTTAAATGATGAAAGCAAGCACATCTGAAACCTGAAGTTTGAGCCAAATGTTCAGCTCTCCCTACAGTCAAGAGGGTGTAAAGTTGCTGAGCAACTGGCAAATTGCACTCAGATGTGCAATCATCATGGATCATTTTTCAGAATTTGATGATGCGTTCTTTGTGCGGCCAACGCCCACAACAACCTGAGAGAATTACTCATCCGAACTGGATTCTGAGCTGTGATTTCTTTGGCACTAAATTTGAAGCGGATCATGGTGGTCATCATTTCACATATTACCATTAAAGTCATTTCAGTGCAGATAAATTACAAATTTAGTTAATAAATAAAGTAAATCAAATAAATGATTGAATAATGGCTAAAGAAAAATTTGTTCAGGATGAAACACATGTAATGCAATGTGGAAGGCCTGATACTCATGTAACATACACAACCAAAATATCTTGAAACAAAAAGCTCACTGGCTGTATAACACACATTGGCAAGAACTGTTGTCTCTTTAAAGTGTGGTTTAAAGTGAACATGTCTACTCTTTGTTGATGGTATTTGAAAGTGGTTGATCTGTTGTTGTGTTTTTGTTAAAGATGGGAACAGAAAACATAGGGGCGTAACTGAGGCAAAGTTGATATGAGAACAATGCATGCATCTGTCTGTCCCCGAGTAAAAATAGTGTGTCATAAACTGATATGATGAAGTTAGGTTAAGCTAGCTAATTTCAAGATATTTCTGTGGTTTTGCTCACAAGCAGTTTTGGTTTGCACTGTAAAATACTGTCAGTATTTTACTGTATTTAGAATTTTACTATAAAACCACGGCATATCTTTCTCTCACTGTGTGTGTGTGTATAACACTTTTTCACACAGGGCCATGTAGTTTTGGATTTTGTTTTCCCTTAATAATAAAAACGTTCATTTAAAAACTGCATGTTGTATTCACTTGTGTTATCTTTTACTAATATTTAAATTAGTTTGATGATCTGAAATATTAAAGTGTGACAAACGTGCAAAAAAATAAGAAATCAGGAAGGGGGCCAACACTTTTTCACACCACTGTATATATATAATGTATTTTTTATTTTAAAATATTTTTTATTTATTTAAAAAAGCAGACTGTTGCACTGTAAGTATATGAGAATATAGTATAATAACTGAATCTACAAAATAAATCTAAAATCTAAAATAATTATCTTTGGTACAATTAACTTTTCATTCTTAATCCTTAAATCAAATTGATTTTAAGACATTCTTATATTCCCTGCATTATCTCTGCATCCTTTTTGAACAAATTCCATTACAACTGTACACACTTAGACCCCAAAAGATCTACCACCATGCTTTCCAGGCATCAGTGTCCTCCTCACCACACTATAAGAAAAACATCTGCAGAAAATTGGAAAAGGTACTGGTAATTTTCCAAATTTACAGACACTTCCTTTAACCCTAAAACACAACACAATGCAATGCATAATTCAAAATACGGGGAAAACACTGGGCCCTATTTTTTACAGACTTTTCTTAGAGTGCAGGTCTTCTTGGTGGACCTCTCTTGTTGGAATGTAATTTGTAAATACCCTGGCTCTCATTCCATGCTTTATGGAAACTGCACAGACTGATCTCTTCTTCTTCTTGGCTTTCTATTAGAACTGTTTTTTAGTTTTACAACCACACTCTGCAGGACCACATCTTGATGCATGATGACTTTCTCAAGCACTTCAAAAGATCTCCTGTGACTCTGTTCAGTAAGGAAGTGACCGACAGATGCCAACTTTTTGTGTTTCCACTGTATTTACTTGACTTTATCCACTCTAGTTTATTAATATATCTTTATAAAGCACTGAACACCTTGAAAATCCAGTTTGGAGGGCTATTGCATGCTGTCTTGTCTTGCTTCTGCAAAATATAGCAATCAGCCGAGTGAGGAAGTCTCTTTTATTACATAGATTTTTGCTTTCATAAACCTACATCAACAGCAATAGAGACACAAATGTTCAATAATAAGTCAAATTTTTATGAACAATAATAAGAATTCACTGTCCGCAAAGTGATATAGTTCATTATTCTGACTAGAGGTTGCTTATAGTTGCTAAGCAATAAAGCAACTTGCTGTAATATTAAAAATTTAATAGAAAATTTACCTGTATATTCACACTTGTGCTTTTATACATCATACATTTTATACATTTATGCTTCAGAAATTATTCTGATATAGTGATTTAGTGCTCAATATACATTTCTTATTATTATAAATATTGAAAACAGTCGCGCTGCTTAATATTTTTATGTAAACAATGCTACTTCTTTTCAGGATTCTTTGATAAATATAAAGTTTAAAAGAACATAATGTGTTTGAAATTATAACATTATGAATGTCTTTACTGTTGCTTTTGATCAATGTATTGCATTATTGCTGCATAAAAATGTGAATTTCTTTAAAATAAATCTTGGTAGTGTATATATTGCAGATCTTTAAAACAAGTTTAGTTACATGATGACATGCAGATAACCATAGGTCACACTCTTCCAATGCACATCCATAGGAAATGGGCAGAAGTCTAAATATTACAGGCCCGAGAAACCAGACATCTCCCTATAATTATTTTTCAGTACATCATCAGCAGAAAGTTTGCAAGCTTTTCATTAAATGTGGAACAGAAAATGTTTGGTGACAGCAGGTGGAATGCTGCCGGACGAGCTAAACCACAGTCAAAGGAGTGTCACACAAAGAGACGCAGCTGAGAAGCCGAGCCCACTCTCATGATATCAGCAGCATGCACTCTTTCCCTCCCTTGCCACACCTGGACAGCGCATGAAGTCAAAACCTCCCCAGCAGCTCATGTACCCCTCACTCATTCATCTTACCTAGTTCTTTGCCATTAGCCCTTGTGGGGAAGTGTATCACTAACAAAATCTGTGTGCAAGTAAGTTTATTTGCTGATGTGATGATGGCATGCAACCTGTTACAAAGATTCGACCTCAGATTAGACCGACATTTTAAACTTTAAAAAAGGTAGAGTCTGAAAAATGTGAAACATCCTTGCTAGCTAACAATATCTAGTTAGTTTCAAGAAAGGACTTTTCACATTTTTCAGACCACCGTAACATGATGTTTAACATGATCTGTTTGTGGTCTGAGGCCCTTTTAACACCTCTCATAATTCACAATGAAGACATATGTTGATGATTTTCACATGTTTTATAATCACGCGACAAAAATTCCCATTGACAGTGATCACACATCTTCTATTAAAAATATGGGCAACGATAAGCTTCAAATTGTTAACATTAATTAATGCAATTAACAAACTAGCATTTAATAATCTATGGTAATTTATAAATATACCATTGGTCATTGTTCATTTGTGCTTGTTTATAATACAACTAATGCTAATTCATACAACTTGTATTAGTGTATGTATAAGAAAACATCACCTAGATTAATAGACTCTGTAAAGATATGTTGAATCTTATTGTAAGATTATAAGATTATGTTCTCAAGAGACACCAGATTTAAATCTTCACAGGGGGCCACAATGACACTAACATTACTGTATCAACATTCAAATATACTAGGGGAATATGTACTATGCGATACAATAGAATTAAAATCAAAAGTTTCACTAACAGCTGTCAAATGGCTTTTACACATCTAATATCCATCCATCCTTCATTCTTTCCATCCATTCACCCACAAAACTGCCTGTATAGGATAAGGGGGATGTTGGAGCCCATCCTAGCACCTTGGTTAATTTAGAATTTTGAAGTTTTGAAGCTATTATTAATTGAATACATAAGTCAAGGCTCTGGAATGCCAAAGACAGTAAAAATCAATCTGAACAAAATACTAGAGTAAATGAGTCACACAACTTCAGTTTAGTTCTGATTAGGCTCCCATGTTTTCTGGCCAACTTCACATTATAGCAGAAAAGTCTTTAAGGTGGAAATGCCAGGTGTGAAAAGTGGAAGAAAAAACACCTGCTACCACAATACACTGATTTGCTGATTTTTCATTCATTTTCGGTCGAGAAGTAGTATGTTTATATTCACATAAGCCGCCATTGACTGCTATCAGCAAAACTGGTTATTCAGAGACGTTTTCAGTGACAAATGTGGAAAGAATATAGCCTTCTTCCTGTTTCTGTCATAACAGCATTCATAAAAGGTGACAGAATATGTTAATGTATTAGTAGGTGTGGTGGAGTAGTCGAGAGACTATGAAAAGCTTGTAAAAGCCATAGAAACTGGTTTCAGTCTAACCATCAGCGACAGCCTCAACAAGACAGGTAAGAAAGCTCGCTGTGCACTGAACTTTGCTAACTGGACTGTCTGGAGTTTTGGAGCGCTTTTGGACAGTTTGGACAGTTTAAACAGTTTGGCACTGCTGTTTATATTACTTTTATGGTTTTTATTTTGAATTGTTTGTTGAATTTAATTAGAACTCTGAACGGCAAATGTTCAGCAACTGCTGATTAAGGTTATTTATTATGATTTAAAGGTTGATTTGTTTCAAATCAGAAGACCATATAAGTTTAAAAAAAATAATGTTCATACATGTTATGCATTGTTCAGTAACTGTCCTTGTTCACAAACAGATTATGGTATTGTTGTAATATATAATAAGAAAGCAATTTATCAAAGGGTAAATTAAATATAATTTACATTTATTCATCCAAAGCGACTTAGAAATGATGATTACAATTAATGAGTCATAGGCTACACTAACTAAAGGCCTATTGTATGATTACTATCATTATATTGCTTTTATGCAACATTTAAATCAAACTAAAATGTGCAGGGTTTATGGAAGCCTGTTTCTGTCATGGAATAAAATAATACTAATACAAAGAATAAAAACCATATATTTACATCAAATCTGACTTTCGTTCTTAGAATTGCAAGTTTATAACACAATTCAGACTTTATTTCCCACGCTGATAAAAATTATTTTGTGGTGAAGTAAATACTACATAAAAACAAATGTAATTTCTACATTAAATCATTTAGTTCAGGCAAGAATTAAAAAAATTAAGTAAATTCCATATTACTACTCAATTTAAGCTTGTAGAAATTAAAGTTTGAGATTATAAGCATATTTTACTTGGAATTGTTTGTTATGTTTACAAGGATTCTTTAAGTAAATATCAAAGTTATGATCCCGTCATGCACTGGGGCATGAGTAATTAAAAAGGTTAACATTTTCACTGTGTTCGAGTTGCATTTATACTGTTTTATGGTTGATTTTGTCGTTAGGTTTAGTAACTTACTGTTTTGTGATATCTGGAGTTAATTGTCTACTCAAAATGACCCATTTATACTCAAACACTATCCGCTGATTGTTTCCGTCGTTGTGTATGGTGTACCAGTATTGAGGTCTCTGTGTTCATTTGGGCAATAATTATATTGAGTGGACATATTATCTTCAAAGGATAACAAGCTGCATACTTGCTTACTTATATGTTTGCAAGTGTACCACATGCTTCAATAGCATGGTTGTTTTCTAGTGCTACATTGTTTGAGAACATTTTATAAACTGTTACTGAGGGAAATGTACTGGAGTGTAGCATATTTAACAAAATAATTAAGTAGAAATGACTCATCAAACTCTAACTGGCCATGTTAAATGTACTTATTTCCTTTGCCAAGTTTACCTAACGTAGTTAAGTAGATTTTACTTAATTCAAAACTTAAATTTTACTTAAAATTTATGTGTGCAAAAATTTGCAAAATAAAAATTAAGTAAATCTACACTCTAAAAAAAATGCTGGGTTGTTTCAACCCAACTTTGGGTCAAATATGGACTAACCCAACCGTTGGGTTAAATTTTTACATGAAATGTTTAACCCAAACGTTCGGTTAGTCCATATTTGACCCAAAGTTGGGTTGAAACAACCCAGCATTTTTTAGAGTGTACTTATTGTTTTTTTTAAGTGCACAGTTCTGAGTTTATCTTGTACGTTTATGTCTCGCAATCACCCCCCAGATTTCTGTGTTTACATCTCATAATTCTAACTTTTTTTCTCTGAATTCTGAGTTTGCATCTCGCAATTTTGACTCCCCCCCCCCTCAGAATTCTTGGTTTAAATCGCTTTAAAGGGGCGCCTAATCTTGCGAAAGGAATTGGATCTGTCTGAGACAACTGACAATTTTGAGAAAAAAAGTAAGATTTGCGAGATGTCAATTTGGAATTGTGAGAAACTAAGTCAGAATTATGAGATAAAAAGTCGTATTTACCTTTACATTCTTCATTCCGTGCCGGTGGAACAAACAAATGTACAAATTAGGCTACTTGTGAAACTTTTGTGACAATCAAGGCTTCCTGTCTACAACGACCCTCTAGTGTTGTACTAAATATAAGATAGATAGTACAACACTAGAGGGTCGTTGTAGACAGGAAGTCTTGATTGTCATTGTAGATTGTAGATAACACATTATTGGATGAAAACTTGTATAATGGTAAACAAAAATCAGAGACAAAAAAAAACACGTTCTTCTCCTGTAGTTCAGTCAACGGAAGCCAAAAACAAATTCGTCAGCTACGAATCATATGAGCTGGGTCGCAATCCAGGAATGGCCACCTGCACAACCTGCCAACAGCAGGTCTTAACCAATGTCACCTACAAAGTGGGAGTTTACGCCTGGTTGATGTGCTTACTCTTCATCCTGTGCGGGTGAGAGTCCATTTGAATTTGCAGCTACAAATATTAAATCTTGTGCGCATGATCAAAGCCAAACTGTCTTCCTCTTTTCCAGGTTAATTTTGTGCTGTTGTCTGATTCCGTTCTTCATGAAGTTTTTCAAAGACGTCTATCACACATGCCCGAAATGCAATAAGATCCTGCACATTGAAAGGAAGCGATGCTGCTAACCTTTATCCTACCCCTTCCCCAATTTTAACACCATTCATGGATTTGTATGGCACCTTAAACTACTGGAGGACACTTTCGGGCCAACACAGATGTCATCTAGTACAAACTTGCTTGTATAAACTAATGCTTTGCAATCTTTGTAACTCAGAACCTTTTGATGTTCATCTGGCTTAGTCTTTATTATTACACTCTCAAATGAATATGAATATACTCATTCTGATTGTATATCTATAAAGGACTCAGGGTTAAGGCTTCAGAGGGTTGAGGAGTTTGTGGAACCAAAAATTTGATTTTTACATCACAATGTAAATATCAGTAATTTTGGCATCAACTGGTTTCACCAGGACCTTTAACATCCATGGAAACTTTCCAGTTGGACAAAAGGTTCTTTATAGTGGAAAAATGTTCTTTAGATTATTCAAATGAGAAAATGAAAGTGTTAAAATGAAAGATTTTTTGGGGAACCAAAATCGGCTCTTCCACCGCATCGCCGTACACCTATTTGGAAATTTTATTTTTAAAAACAGTGTAGAAAAGCCAGGACATACGAGGTGTCTTCATTTGAAAGTATGATTTCTAGAACTTAAAAAGTCATGTAAATGAATATTTAAAATAAAATAAAAAATACATTTTTGTAGTTATGTCAAGATCTAATATTTTATTGGGTACAACCTGCATGTAAAAAAATATATATTTTTAAAATCCTCTAGTATATACTACAAAAAACTGGGAAAAAGTCATGGGGTCGTTGAATATTGCTGTGGGCACTGGGAGGCTTTGGAGTCAAAAAGGTTGAGAACACTTATTTTAGAACCAACAAGATCTCTTAATTAAAATAATGGAAATCATACTTTCAAAACTCATTTTTTGAATTACCATACTGCCAAAGCTGACTAGCATTCTTTTTTACTTCTGTAAGTAGTCTGAATTTTTAGAATAATGTCAAATATGTCATATGTGCATCTAAATGGAACTGTCATAACAATAAAACTGAAACGTGTATGTGCAATATCTTAATGAGAACTCTGCATGTTGTTTATACACACTGAAATCTTCATATTACATGACACAAGCACAGCATTACAATCTGTACAGTGTTTGGTCACAATTCTTCAAGGGCCACGGTGGTAGCTTTTATAGAAAATTTTATTCAACATACATTTTCCAGCAAAAAGGCAATATACAGGAAGAGTTGTCGTACACTGCTGCTACACAGAGGAATTAGACTGAAGAGAAAAAGAAATCAAAAAGATAGATGTGATCTGCAGGTCTTCTTTGTACTGCACTTAAACGAGACAAACTGTTGCAATTAGTTAAGGGAAAAAAATAATGACCAAATAAAACTGCCAGGATCCAAAATAAAACTACACAATGAATATGAACATCTGAACTGATCTGTACCCAACAAATCGGTGTTTTTAATTTTACATGTTCATTCTTTAAATATACAATTTTAATTGTTTTTACAAAGCCAACTATGCACTAGGGAGCATTCCTTCTGTGCTTAAAGAAAAAAAACAAACAATGGTATTGGTTCATTAATGCTGGTTTCTCTAAGTCCCAAACCAGTCTTCTATACGTCTGTAGCCTCGTGCCAACAAACAGTACAATGAATCTGGAGCCGTCAGCAAAGCGACCCCTCCCTTACCATCAGAATAATCCCACAGCCAGTGACAGGAGCTAACAAACGGGGAAAACAAAACTTTACGGGGAGAGAAAAAAAAAGGGATAAAAAACAAAAAACAAAGGGATATGCAACTCGAACTCCAACCAAAGATTACATTTAACAGCGCTGAGAAACGTAAAACCTTGGATATTAAGTGCCAACGTGCAAGATGAAGAACAGACAATTTATTTCATTTTTATTTATTTTAAAACGGATGCTGTGGCTCTTTACTTTATTATACAGGATTTCCAGAGAAGACAAACTGAATTTCTCCAACCAAACTAAGTGAGAAAGAAGAATGGTGTAAACATGAAAATTGACTAGTTGCACTAAGGGACCAGAAAATAGACAACCATGTCAGGGCAACTAGCAAAAGCCTCAGCCATTTGCGGTGAATTTTTTTTGTTGAAGGATGGAGGAATCCTTTCAATCTTCTGCAAATGACAAAACCCCTCTTTCCATCGCCTCCGCCTCACAATGCAGCAGCTTTCTTGCCGTAACAATTTTTTTATATTTTTTTTTAAAATGAACTTAAAAAGAAAAAACAAAAACAAAAGCAACAACAAAAAAAAAAATCTAAATCAAAACAAAAGTCTAGGACATACTGTTCCCCCTTTCTTGTTAAAATCCAATTCATTCTTCCAGACAAATAGGCATTCAATAGTTAGAGAAGCCAAATCGAACAGCCTCAAAAAGGAAAACAGGAGCATCAGCAGTCACTCCATTCGCTGAAGACTTCATACATGGTGCCTGTGTACCCAGACAGCAGGTGTTAAAAGTGGTGCACACAAGAGGTTTGGTTAAAGTCTTTAGTATGGTCGGTTAGAGCGGGGGCTTGTCAGTTGTGAATCTTGATCGCTTTTTCCAGATACGTGTAGCGACCTCTCTTTGGAGCTTTGTTGAAATGGTCGAGCCCTAACCAAGGCCTCGGGTGCGACATGTTCCCTGAGAAAGGACAGAACATAGTAAAGTTGGCACAAACATAAACGCAGTGTCTACTGATCGAGATGTCATAGGTCAAAGGAGTGTAACATACCTGGCTGTGGCTCAAAGTCTTTCAGATTCACCTCGTAGTCTTCCTCATTGATGTACTGATGCCGGCCCATCATCACGATTGCAAACTTGAACTAAAAGAAAATGAAACAGGTTTAATCTGGTTTTCATGTCAACTGTATTTTTATTTTAGGAATGGTAATCTGGGTGGAACTAAATTTAAGTCTTAATCTGGACTACGGAACAATGTTAATTTAAAATATCGTCTGAATTAAAAACAAACAAAAAAAACACACACTGACCGCTCTAACTATTGACTAATGATTTTACACACACAGTATATAAAATCATTAGTACATATTCAGTTCTTTAGTATCCAGAAGGTATATTTAACACTGATGGATCTCCAAATGCCCCAAGAGAGGGGCTGGGCGATATGGCCAAAAAAATTATCACCATAATGTTTTTTCATATAAGTTGATATCGAAAATGATCACAATAAATGTCAAAATTGTATTTCTTTCAAGTTTAAAGGCAGCTTTTTGCTCCAATGTGAAAGCTGTAAAAAACAGACAGTTAGTTATGGTTTTAAACTATTCTTTATGGTCAGAACACGACAAACACTTCACATTTTTTAATTCTTTACACTTTTCCAGTCATTTTTCCTTAACCAAATAAATATCTTAATAGAAAAAAAAAAAATTCTAATTCGTTCTAATGAGTAATATTGTTTCAAATCAAGAAACAGGTTTGTGTTGCCTGATAATATTAATAAAAAAAAAAAATTTTGTCTCTTAGAAATACACATTTAATAGTAGCTTAAGTTAGGATGCAGATGTAGATTTATGTTCATTATCAAAATCAGTAACATGTCAAAATTGTAGCAACCTCATTTTTATATGGTGAAATTTTATTATTCTGACTGTTTGAGTTTTTTTTTTTTTTATTAACCTCTGGTCTTCCAGTACTGTACTATTTCCACAAAATCATTTGAGTCATAACAATATAAATTACAATATTTTCATAAAGTTATTTTATCATGCATGTATGGATATAAACAATTTCTGTAACATACAAGTTTCAGAAGTTTAAAATCATGCGAGCGCATCCTATGCAACTTAAAGGACATCCTACATAACTCAAAATCGTTTTTTTCAACCAATGTTAAGATCAATGTCTTAGATCCACCATCAAGCGACAATAGTATTTGATTATGCACTTGCCGAGCAGGAAATCATTAAGCCATGTCAAGTCTCGAGGATGTTACTTGTTTATTTTTGCTTTAAGTACAAGGTAGTATTATGATTGATGCTTTCCCACCATTGATTATAAGACAATGCCACATTGTGGAATCAAGATGAATTACATCGAGACATGAGAAAGTCAATAGTCACGCAGTAAAACATAAAACATAACATACCTTGGGACAATAGTGACCAAAGGTATGCATTTAAGGGTTAATGTGCAAAATATTTCCAGGTTGGAGAAAATTCACTGATACATTGTGATTACATCGGACACATTTGTAAAGCTTCTCTTACCTTCTCAAACTCCTTCTCCTGAATGTCAAGCATGCTCTGAATTCTCTTCATCACTTCTCTGAAGGGTTCCCCCTGCCACAATAAATGCATGCATTAAAAACGGACACGACACATACAAACCGAACAAATGACAAAAAAAAAGCAGAGGTGCCAGTTTAATATAAACACTGTTCTTTGAACCTTCTATTCAAAGAACATTCAACATTTGGTAATTAGAAATGTTTCTTGAGCACCAAATCAGAATATTAAACTGATTTCTGAAGGACATGCGACATGTGAAGACTTTTCCATCACAGAAAAAAAAAAAACATTAAAATACAAAACATTTAAAATTATTATTATTTCACACAATACAGTTTTACTGTAATTTTGACTAAAATACAGCCTTGGTGAGCATAAAACACTTTTCAAAAACATGTTTTACCAAAATCCAATTCACTTTTAAACTAGAAACATATTACTAGAAAATTCCAACACTAACCAGGATTTTAAATGATTTAAATATCACAAAATTAGTGGAACATGGAGTGAAAAACAAAACGAAAACAAAAAAACGTACGAAACCCTTAATTTCTAACAGCCTACAGAGAGGGCAAAAAAGACAAAAGTTAATATTAGCAGTGACCAGTGAAAGGGGTCAGAATAATGGTCAGTGACTCATATAATAATTTGTAGCAGCGTCAATGACTTATTAATGCATGATTGGCTGTTATATCAGAATCGACAGTCTGTTATCTTTTCTCATCCAACATGTCAAAAACAATACATAATATTAAAAGCATTATGTCACACAAAATGTCACACAAACCCCATGTTTGTGAGAACTTTTAGAAATGTCAGATTAACTATAAATGTAACTATCACAATGCCTCTGTCCTTATAGTAAAAAAAGAAAGAGGAAAAAAAAAAAGCAGAGGTGCCAGTTTAATATAAACACTGTTCTTTGAACCTTCTATTCAAAGAACATTCAACATTTGGTAATTAGAAATGTTTCTTGAGCACCAAATCAGAATATTAAACTGATTTCTGAAGGACATGCGACATGTGAAGACTTTTCCATCACAGAAAAAAAACAAAACATTTTAAATTATTATTATTTCACACAATACAGTTTTACTGTATTTTTGACTAAAATACAGCCTTGGTGAGCATAAAACACTTTTCAAAAACATGTTTTACCAAAATCCAATTCACTTTTAAACTAGAAACA